AAAATGCAGTCAGCTCCCTCTCAATAGAAAATTCTTGGTTCTCGAAAGGTAATGGGGGAATAATAAACGATAACAGAGAAACACTGTGTTCATTTTTGGAGGATCCACAATTAATCCGGCACGCAAAAACCTTTTTATTTAGGCAGGCTTTTTAACATAATAGTCATGAAAGGGTGGTTTTATATGGGGTGTGAGTTTTACTTCTGTTTTAATTTTTTGTCTGCTTTTAGGGTTCATTTTATATTGTTTTCATTAGATGATTTTTAACTGCTTTTTAAATTTTTACTCGAAGGTTTTTAAAATATATCTGGTTATCTCACGAGTGGCCTTGGGTCCTTTTCTGGGAAAAAGGCAGCCTGAAAATGAAATAAATAAAAATAAAATAAAATACTTAATGCAATATAAGATGGAGATAATGGGTGGACACCAGAAGACAGAGGGGAAATAGTGAATGGATGGAGAGGCCTTGGTGAATTTACTCATCTAAACTGATTCCAATACAATGGTTTGATTTCAGGAAAATCTCAGAAGGGATGGATTCACAAGATCCAGAGAGAGAGAGAGCATCAACTCTAAATCTTCCATACCTTTTACTCTTCTCCCTTGCTGCTCTCCTCCTATGATCAAAATATACATTTGCAAACTCCTCAGGGCAAGGACCTGACTCTTTATCCTCAACATCATCGCTGCCCTGTGCATTTGACACAACCAAATCCTAATCAAATGGGATTTGGACAGAGGCAAAACTTGACAGGGATCTTCATCTGCGGATGTGGTCCATCCTTCCTAGTTCTGCACAGATTCTGGGGCTGCATTGGAACACTCTTCCTTTTTAACTGATGGTGTTTGTTAATTGTTGTTGCTCTCCGCCTCAATCCATAGGGAGAGGCAAGTAGGAAACCATCATCATCATCATCATCATCATCAGCATCATCATCCATATGCATCTGAGGAAGTAGACCTAAGTCTACAAAAGCTCATGCTGCCAGCTTCTTTATTTCAGTTGTCTCAAAGATGCTACAAGATCTCTCTACATACTGGTTCTACAGACTAACATGGCTATATCTTTGAATTCTATTATTATTATTATTATTATTATTATTATTCCTCTGCCTCCCACTGGCAACGTGGATTGTTCCACTGATCATTTTTCTTGAAGAGGAAACATCCTCACAGGCTTCTCTCCCCCTGCTGCTTCCTGGAACTTTCAGCTCTCCATCTGTAAAATGGGCACAGCAAAAGCCTCCCTTACAGGGTTGTGGAAACAATGAAAGGCTGACACTTCCCATGGACTCCTCCTAAAACACACACCATAAAGCACAGCGTCTCTTATGCCAAACCCAAAGAGTCCTGTGAGACTACAAAGCCTGGCACATTTCCAGGGGCATCACAAGCTTCAAGACCAGGATGACAGAATTCAAGAGTTGGAAGATACCCCCAAGGGTTATCCATCCCAACCCCATTCTTACATGCAGGAAGACACAAAAGCATGATATAGGAACATAGCATGGGGCCATTTGGGTGAAATGTCCTTTGCATAGGAAATACCCGGTTATAACCAGGGCCAGGCAGAGCGAATCTGTCTGCCACCCACCCTCCCAACCAGCCAAAACTGCAGAATGAAAGAGGAAAAACATTGTCTAGCCACTGCAGAATCAGTCACTCGAGAAATAGAAAGGCTTGACCCTACCCGAAAAGGACACCTCGACATCAAAACTCTGATCCATGGGGAGAGAAAGGGACTCTGCACATGCCTAGGAGTGCTTTTGAGCCACCTCCAGCCCTGTTTCCAAGGATCTGAGTCTCAGCTTGAAAAAGAGAGAGGAGGACTGGAGTAAACAGAGTCTCCCTGCTCAGGGATGTGTGTGTGTGTGTCAGGATTTGAATGGGGATCCCAAGAAACAGAGAAGGGAATCAAATCCACAGTGACACCCAGTCTTGGCTGGAGAAGCTGAAAGGATGAGGAGGAGGGAGAAAGGGATGGTTGGAGCAAAAGAGAGAAGGGGGGAAACCCATCCCTCATGCTCCCTTCTTGGGAAGTTCATCAACTGATGATTGATTGATTGATTGATTGATTGATTTGAAGGGAAAGGAAATTGGGA